GCAAATTTCCAAACTTACCCTTTCTCCGAACTTTTGAAAAACATGTAAAACGACCGCTACTGTAAACTTCCTGTACCACGACATCCCCGCCCCCTTGCCTACGTGACTGACGTGACGTAGAGTTAGGACCTGTAGGGAGGAAAGAGGGGGGAAGGGAGAAAAAGAAAAGGAGAGAAGAGGAGGGAAATGTCCATTATATTATTGTTTTCTTATCTATTATCTTTTCAGCATTGTTTACACTCACTTCAGCATTTATTGCAAGGTGTATCATCGCTTTAATTTTTGTGTGTTTTGTGAGATTCGAACAGGCAGCTTCCCAAAGTAACACAGCGCTTCTGACATTCCTAAGGCCTATTAGGTGCTAGTAAAACCAAACTAATTTAACAGTGTATGTAGATAACTCTGTCATCATATGTCCCCTCACTTTTTAATAAACTCAATTATTTGAGAGAGTAGCTCAGTGCAGCAACAAGTGAATAAAACAAATTCTAAACTGAGCAAAGAGTGATGGGTTTTGTGAATAAATGTAAGTAAAATAGTAGTAAAATGATCCTGCAAGTAATTCTGGCTTCAAGTTATTCAGTGTATAACACTCACTGTCCTGTTTTTAAACAGGAAATTAAATAAATACGTGAAAGCTGTTCTTGACTCCAATAAAATGATCAAAACTTTAATGTAACATTGTACCACACAGTAAGAAAGCAAAGAAAAATGACAAACCACGTATGAACAGACAGGACGAGAAGAACGAGGGAGAGAGGAGAGAGAAGAGACAGAGAGATATCTATGATTAAGAGCTATAAAACAAATCCTTTAAACAAAATTAATAATAATAATAATTAATAATAATAACAATAATAAAAGAATAACCATGTAATATAACAATATAGAATAATATAATAACAATATAATGTAACAATATCACAATATATAACAATAATATTACAGCAACAATAATAACAATAATCATCATCATCAAGATGAAGCTGAAACAATAAAACTACTGTAAACTAGGGATGTAACAATTCAGTGTAGATTATGTAAAGGAATAACAGTTGTTTTAAGACTTAGTTCTTTGGATTAAATCTTGTCAAGGCATTTTAAAGAGGAAAAAGTAGCACAGTAACAATTTTAGCTGTTTAACCTCCACAAAATATCGCAATAAATATCCTACCGTGAGATGTATATAGTGAAAACATCGCACCAAGAGATTTGGATATTGTTACGTTCCTAATCGTGAGCCTCCCCACCATATCGTGAGCTTTCCCATGATATCGCAATAAATAAGGTACCGTGAGTTTCATACCGTGACGATATCGTATCGTGAGGCTTTGATATCACCCCTGCTGTAAACTGTTCTTCCAGTCTTCCAGGGACAGTCCTGAGGCTGGACAGTACCACCGCCCCTTCACCTGGGTGTGTCCAGTTCTTTTGCTTTTGTCCTGGCCACAATGCATGCAGGTGTAGTGGTGCTGCTTTTTAGCCTCTTCTTTGGCGGTTCCCCCCTTGACACTAGCTCCTCATCCTCCTGGGCAGCTTTATTCAGCCTCCAGGCACGTTGCCTTGGCTGAGATGGAAGGCACGCTGGAGGAGGTTGCTGCAGTGGAGGAGCATCAGGACATGGAAGAGCTTGCTGCCATGGAGCATAAATAAATGCGGAGTGCAAATATGAGGGAGCGGGTGGAAATGGAGGAGGATGTTGAAACTGAGAAACTGGCCAAGACTGTGGAGGGAAAATGGGAGGTGGAACTGGTGGATTGATCCCAGGTTGCAGTTTGGGTTTAAAAACCTCCATAACATTTAATTAGTCCATAATATAGGCTGTAGACTTGAATCTGAAGGATTGATTTGTTTTACCAGGATGTCTATCCAACTGATCATCAGAAGCGTCGTTGAAATCCCCTCCAATAATGACATATGGGCCTGGGTGTTTCATTTGAAGTTGTTGAATTTTGGAGCAGATTTCTGAAAACATTATTTTTGTTAAAGCAAATTTATTATAATCATAATTTAGATTATAAAGAGTGAGTCATCCTGTTTTATTATTAAAATAATCCACCTGTTTTCATCAGATTTTAAACATTCAATTATGTCACCCTGGAATGAATTAATGAGAATGGCGACTCCTGCTGACAGAAAAAAACATTGATCCCCCCATTGTGCTTTCCAAAATTTAACATCACTGTCCACTGAGTGAGTTTCTTGTAAAAAAAAAAAATTATTCTGCCTTTTTCCTACGACTAAATAAATATATAGCCTTCCTCTTTGTAATATATCTTATGCCTCTAACATTTAAAGAAATGCATTTCAAAGAACCAGAGTCTCTATTGATTTTGCAATAATAAAGATTAGTGTTTAACTGAAAGAGAGTGCTGAATTTCAGACACCTGTAAACCACGTATAGTCATAATCCCTTTACCTTTAATTACCCCATTTAATTAATAACGTAAAGAGCTTTAAAACATAAAAAAGAACAAAATAATAATAATAATAAATTTTATATATCAAGACCTAGCCTTTAAAAAGTCAGAGTTCTTGACGTCTTTCCAGATCTTCTCCTTGGTCCTTCTGGAGATGAATTGAATCATAGCGGGCCTGGGACAGTTCCCTTCAACTTTTTTCCTCCCAGCTCTGTGGCAGATGTCAGTGAAGATCTGCAGGGAGTCTGCTGTCTCCGGGGCCACAGAGCTGCAGACGATTCAGCTACTCCAGACACTGCCGGCCCCGCATATGAAGAGGAATTTTGCCAAGAACGCAGCTGGGAGACATCATCTGTATGTTTATGGAGCGACAGTGTGGAATAACACTATTACACATATGTCTGTATGGGACATATGTCTGTTCTGGACCTACTCCACTTCTGGGAATACAGGATGCTTCAATTACAAGGTTTAGGAGTGTTCTGGAAATGCTGTTCAAAGAATGTCTCTGGTATTGTTGTTACCATGGACCCTGTGTCTAAGAGAAACTTAGCTGTAACACCCCCTAAGCTAACTGTTACCTCAGGGCACGGTGCAACGAGGCTTTCTGCAGCTGATGCAGGACTGGCTTTCAAATGTGTGAGCTGATATTCTCCCCTCCTGATGTTTGGCTCCTCACATCAGGGGGTTGAAGTTTACCGCTTAGCTGGGGACGCAGCCCCCACCTGTGACACTCTAGGCCGGGAAATAAACCGTTCATGGAATGTAAAGTAAACGTTCCACAGGTACCTTAAGGTACCAATGCCGTTTTATTTGAGTCTAATGAATTAAAACAAATCTAATCTCTGAATTTAATTTAACCATCAGTATATCCTGCCAGCAACAGCAGAATCTGTGACCGAGGTTTAATTTATAGGTTCAATGTATAAAGGATGCAGTGACAATGAAAGAGAGACAGTCAGATATAAATTTTATGACAAATTTATTTATAAACCACAAGTTTAGAAAAAATAGATCATTTATTGTTATTTGTTCTAAAATACTAATCTAGCTAAAAGTGCCTCTCTCCAAAGAGCAAAGGCTAAAATGTTAAAATACCCAGGGCTAGCCGGTGGCGGGTGCACACGGCAGAGGCCCAAGCTTCAGGGGATCGAGTAGTCACCACACTCTGTGTAACACACTCTCACACACACAAATAAACACAATTTACTAGGACAACTAAAATGTGCAAATACATGAAGGAAATGCAAAAAACAAAACAAAAAAAACAACAATAATAATAATAATAAATACGTAGTCTCTAATCCAACCACTAATGCTGTCTTTGCTTCTCTCTTTTTTTTTTCAGTCTGAAAGACAAACTGCTCTCCACCATGGACACTCCTGCTCACCCACTGCACCAGACTACAGAGGGACATAGAAACTAATTTTCCAACAGCTCTGCTCATATATTGAGAGATATAGGACTACGTTCATACCATACTCCATACAACTGTACAACTCACCCTCATGTAACAGATAACCCTATGTCATGTCAGTCATATCGCTGTTGCACTGTGTTCCTATGACCACTTGTATATATAGCTGAAATTTTAAATTTAATTTTTTTATTGTTATTTTGACTTGTACATTTACATTAACATACGTATATACGTATGTCTTATTTGACACCTGTCTCTTGCGCTACTTATTTAAAATGTATTATTACAATTTATATTTTTTCTCTTTGTTAAAGAGAATAATAAATAATTCTTTCCCTTGTGAATCAATAAAGTTTGTCTAAGACTAAGTCTTTCCCTCCGCTGGAGATGAAAAGAGAGGATTATTATCCACAGCTCTAAACAAATTCTTTTTAACATCTGCTATTTTACATAATCACTTGATTTTTCATTCAGTCTTTTATAATCTCCCTAACAGATGACTCCAAGTCACGATAATTGTCAAAGAGAAACCTCACAGGCACATCAGCAGATCATAGGCTGATTGAATTAGGATATTAAAAAGACAGAGCGCCTCACGCAGCTGTCCCATACAGGCAGCACATGTCTTAAACGTGCAAGTCTCCTACGTAACTAGACCGTTACATCATAACAAAGAGTTTTAGTTAGATAAGATAATTATATCAATTCGTTGACATTAGACCTGTACAAAGAACAGTAGACAGTCGCAATGAAATAGCGTACAGCTAGTTGCATATAATTTCTTTACATAACCTATTGGGTTAAAAATTCAAAACTCAGCATAAAGGTAAGGTTATTTCTTTTGTATCCATTTCTACCTAAATGGTGTCGAGTTGAATTTAACTATCTCTTGCTCCACCACTATCTTTGAAGCTGCGCCGCTTTCAAATACATCGGAAAAACAAAAAAAAAAAAAAAAATCCCTTCCCCATCCAATACAACAGTTGCAATTAGTTTATTCTCCACTTTTAAAAGTTATAGTACCATTTATCTTGTGTTGATTTTGTGTTCTTTTTTTTTATTTTTATTTTTTATCAGTCTGTTGCTTCCGCATTTTGGTCGAACTTCTACTTATACTTTTCCCCCGACACAAACGCAACACACGTCAAAGCCGTGACGCGTCTGTCGTGTCTCCTTGAGCTCGGGTTGTGTAACCCGGAACCATGGATCTATTAAAATAACCGGAATAGCTCGGAACGGAGAAACACCGGCTGTCTTCTTTTGAGTTGCACGGTTGCGTCTGTTGCTTTAAAATATTATATATTTATAAGATATTATTTGACAGTTCCTGAATTAGCATCTTGGTATATTTAAGGTAGGACCCTCCTTGTTTTTATTTTTTCCGCTACATCGACCCGTAAATGTTTATAGCTCTTGGTACAATGTGTCCCTAACCTTTAGGGGCACATTGTAACTAATTTAAAAACTCTGAACAGATCTGAACAATTGTGAACAGGTTTGTAAGGTCGTTCATTGATTTCATAGTACGTAACCTCAAGGTCAGAAAGCCTCCGTTAGCTCATAGAAAGCCTCTGTTAGCTCATAGCCTACAGGAGGAGAGACAATTTAAATTGGGATTCCTAATTCACTCACGCAAGTCTTGAGCAAATTTACATGTCTTTTATTTGAAATGAAATGATTGAGACGATGTCCCTGGGCATGGTCGTACTACGAAGAGCGGATGACATGGCTGGTTCATAAGAGGTGTAGGGAGGGTGGATACAGACAACAGAATCTAAAAGTGACTGGGGGCATTAGACTGGTATGGCATGAGGTGTGGTCCAAACCTCAGTTAACTTATTAACTACATTTATAATCCATCAGTCAAGACTAATAGCCTACAATATGACAGGTAATAATAAGACAGGTGTAGTATATTGCTTCTACAAGATGGCATCACCCAAGAATTTATCCAGATTAAACTAACTTGCAAAATTGGTCCCGTAACTCTAACATTTGCACATAGACCGCATCAAAATTAGGACTAATCTGGAACTAAATTCAGACCTAATCAGAGTCTTGGACTACACCAAGACTAGAACAGTACCAAATCAAGTTTGCATTCTGGACTAAACTGGGTTTATACCAGGACTCAACAAGGACAGATGTGAACACACTCTTAACAAACAAATCAAAATATAACATTTTAAAGTTGATAGGAGAAACAGTCAGGTAAAAGTGCATTTTTCTTTTCAGTAAACATGTCTGAATATGAGGAGAATCAATCAAAATTTATGCGCAAAGCAAAGGAGAATCCATTTGTGCCTGTTGGTAAGTGCACCCTTTTTTATCTGACTGGAAGATCACATTATAATATTTTAGCATATCATTAACAATTCAGTGTTCTCTTCTTGAAGGAATGGCAGGATTCGTCGGCATTGTTGGGTACCAGCTGATGAAGATGAAAAATCGCGGAAATGTTAAAATGTCAGTCCACCTCATCCACATGCGTGTTGCTGCTCAGGGCTTTGTGGTCGGTGCCATGACGTTAGGTATGTTTTTTTTTTGGTTTTTTTTGCCTTCTATTAAATGTCATTATTTTATCTATCTCAAATGAGGACACTTTTAAATGAGGTAGCACCCCTGTAGAGCCGGGCCTGTAATTACTTTCTGAGGCGGGTAGTAGGGGTGGGCGATATATCGATATTTTAAATATATCATACTCGATATGAATTCTGACATATCGTATATATTGATATAATGCTTATATTCAATTTAGATTCCAAATTTAGATTTTTAATTGGGTAGAATCCAAAATTCTTTAGTCAGAACAGCCAATGCACAGATGTCGAAACTACTTATGTTGGTGACAAGTTTATCACTTAATTAAAAGAAATTGTATGCAAGATTGTGATTTAATATTTCCTACGCTAAAAACTTGGCCCATCTTGTCCTTAAATGTTCACATAGATTTTACTGGTAACAACTGTAATACTCATTTATTCTCAATTACAAAAACACTGGACATGATGCCCCATTTAAGTATATTATAATGTGGGGTTTTGGGTTTCAAATGTATGATCAATCAGAAAGCAGAAAAGCTTCACATGAGCCTCTCATTTGGGTTGTCAGTTTAAATGCTGAAATGGAGTTGGTTTAAACCTAAATGGAGTCTCTGAATCTGATCTGAATTTTCACTACCTAAACCCCACCTTCTGCAGCCAATCTTTATTTAATGTTAGGGTAGCCTCTGAGTGAATTCTGGAGCTGGAGCATGGTCTTGCCATATACAGAAGAAAACTTGTATGTGTAGGCCTACTCTGTCTGCAGGTTTGGGAACTGGCAACCCAGACCAAGATTCAGTTGTAACTGTAGTACGTTTTTAAAACTGAAAAAGCACAGGCTACATATACTTTTACTTCATGGCAAAGTCATCATCTAAACAGCATTCATGCCCTAGAAATCCAGCACTATTTGGCTTCTTAACATTTTTTTTATTTATCTCCACAGGTGTGATATATTCAATGTACAATGAATTCTACCTTGGCAAACAAGACCAGAAGGCAGTGACACACAAGTGATGAATGCTACTCGGTGCAATATTAATTGTATTTATTTTTATCAAATGTGTTCAAGCATTTTTATGCCTTTGAACTACTAATACTAATACTATATTAATATTACACAAAAATGCCTCATTTAGTCCGCTAATATTTGTATGTCAGGTTTTTTTTTTAATCCTTGAAAAGCTACCCAAACTGTAGCGTAAATAGTTATTTTTGTAATCAAACTCAAAGCATAGGACTTTACCAACTAATTTGCACCGTCATTGTAAATGTATAACCCTTGGAGTGACAGGGTTTATAAACCTTTGGATTGTGCTGTACGTAGTGTGAGCTCGAGCTAATGTGCTTTATTTCACATAGAAATAAAAGCGAAACAAGGCAGGTTTCCTGATAATTGTTTGAAACCACAGAAGCTAAGTAAACATGTGAAACATGGAATATCTGTAGCGTAGGTAGGAAACCACTGATAATGATTTGTCTATCAATTTCATTTGTACAGTTGCACCCTCTGTATTGCCTTTTTTTGGTCAAACATTACTCGTCTACTTCATTAGTGGATTTAAGAATCCATTATTCTGAAATTTAGTTTTGGATACACATAGAAAGGTCTTTAATATTTTAACATGGTCACATCGTACAATAAGGACTTATCTTTACACACATAAACATTATGCAATGTGCCTTTTTCATCAAACAAATAGATTACAAATATCTCAATAACTCTGAAATTATGTTTGAAATGTTTCAAATGAGTTGTAGTCTTCTTCAAGAAATAAAACATGTCCTGTTATAAACCTCAGCAGTTTGAACTCACTTGAAAGCACTCTAACTCTGCACAGTAACTTTTCATTTCATTCATTCAGTTTTATCCAGTTAATAGAATTCATCCTTTCATGATATGAGCTCTACCTGGACAATAGAGGAATTACACATTTTTATCTGCATTTTACATGCAGTCCTTACCATATGAAGGAGGTTATAACAACAAATATTAAATAATATTTTTATTGCTGGCATATTTATGTTTAATTTGAACAGATATGAACACAAACCAGATGTAAATGTAACCTGCTAGTACTTGGATTACAAGCCAGTGAGGGAACTGTTCTCTTTTCACACAGACATCTCTGGATTTGGCACTTGCTGCTGTTTATCCTCTTGTTCTTCTGGCTCTTTAATCGGTGAACTAAAGTCCTGAGTCTGTAAGGGGTCTTCACCACCCACACCTGCAGAGCTGTTATGGCTTAGCTCAAAGCTAATACAAAAACATTACAAACAATTCAAGGTTTAATGTTGGAACTCATTCAACAAACTCTCAGCATTTGACCCTTAGGCATTTTTTGTAATTTTGTAATTTTTTTAGCATTAGCCCCAAGCTAACCTCACACCACTGATTTTATTTTATTATATTTTTTTTATACTTCCATGCCTCACTCCATTGGCAACGTTATAAGAAATTAGATAAACTACTATTTAACTTCATCTGGCGAAATAAGGCCCATTGCCTTAAAAGAAATGTAATCTGTAACCAAAAGCGATATGGAGGGCTGGAGGCGCTGAGTTTTTAAACTATTAATAATGTATTTAAAATTAAATGGCTGTGTCGATTGGGAAAGAAAAAGGTAAATTTATGGAATGCAATTCCTAAATATCAAAGGAATCGGAGGAGTTGAGTTCTTACTCAAATGTAAATACAAACCAGATAAATTACCCATCAAACTGTCAGACCTCCATAAGCAGGAGTTGCTTTCCTGGAGGCTGATCTATAAGCACGGCTTCTCGCCAACCAGCTGCTACATTTGGAATAACAAACGAATTAAGCATCGCAATAAATCATTATTTTTTAAAACCTGCTTTGATAATGTGGGTGTGGGTTAACCAACTGATCAATGCGCAAGGACAAAAGTTTTCATACAGTGAATTTAAAGCCATGTATCAGTTTCCAAGTAAACAATCAGAATACATCAAGTGTGTAAAGCAAAACCTTAAGGCACTTTGCATTTGTTACAAGGGTCATCAAATTAATCATCAAATTCAGAAATAAATAAGAATCTGTACTTAGGAGAGGTTAATATTAAAATCAAAACATCTTCAAACAAATACATCAAAAATATTATTCACCCTCTGAACAGAACCCCAGCAACCTCATACTGGAACTCACTGCATGGGGAGATTGACTGGAGCAGGGCCTGGCTGGTTGGTGAGAGGCTCTGCATCTACAGTATAACAAAATCAAAGAAGTCAATTTCAAAATGCTCCATAATATTTACCCAACCAAAAATACTTTAGAAAGATTCAAATTAGAGATAGATTACAACTGTGACTTCTGTTGCAGTGAAACAGAAACAATCACTCACTTGTAAAAGCCTGATCCTGTTAGATCTCAGAAGCTAAGCAGGCTGGGCCTGGGTAGTACTTGGATGGGAGACCGCTTGGAATTCCAGGTGCCACAGTGGGGTGCCAGTGGCAAAAAAACTGTCATTGTGTCCTTAGGCAAGACACTTCACCCACATTGCCTAGTATGAAAGAGGTGTGAGTGTGAGTGATGGTGGAGGTTGGAAGGGCTGATGTTTCAGATTGGCAGCCTTGCTTCCGTCAGTCTGTCCCAGGGCAGTTGTGGCTACAGTAGTAGTTTATTACCACTGAGTGTGGAGTGACTGAATAATGAACTGTAAAGTGCTTTGGGTATCTTGAAAGGCACTATATAAATGCTATCACTCACTTGTTTTACTATTGTACGTACAGTAGAAAAATCTGGACCCACATACAACAACTCATCCAAACCAAAACCAGACACGTGTACCATAACAGTGGTAAATTGTCCAAAGTGGGTGTCACAAGATAACCAGTGTTGGGGAGTAATAGATTACATGTACCGGAGTTACGTAATCAGAGTACAAATTATGAGTAACTGTGTTCAGTTACAGTTACTGTTTCAATGAGCAGTAATTGGATTACAGTTACTTTGTTGAAATAAATGGATTACACAGCAGTATTTTCCTGTTTTCACATTTTGGGCTATATCCCCCTTTTTAATTTTTTTTTTTTTTCGGTAATTCCACTCATTGCCGGAAACTAAACCAGGTCTAAACTAGATCTAAATCAGGTCTAAACCAGGTCTAAACTAGATCTAAACCAGGTCTAAAACCAGGACTAAAACCAGGTCTAAACTAGATCTAAACCAGGTCTAAACTAGATTTAAACCAGGACTAAAACCAGGTCTAAACTAGATCTAAATCAGGTCTAAACCAGGACTAAAACCAGGTCTAAACTAGATCTAAACCAGGACTAAAACCAGGTCTAAACTAGATCTAAACCAGGACTAAAACCTGGTCTAAACTAGACCTAAACCAGGTCTAAAACTAGGACTAAAACAGGACTAAAACAGGATTTAACAGGACTAAACAAGGACTCAGTAGTGTCTCTGTGTTTCCCCTCACATTCCTTGGTTTGGTTTTAGAGTGACTATTATTTAAAAAGAGCTTCAGCCATTTGAATTTCAAAACTCCATTCATAATGTCAAAATATATAGCGTTTCCACCTCCCTCCGCGTATGGTTTGATTAGGTCGTCTTTTCCAAAGTAATGACATTTATTCTTCCAAATGAAGTTAAAATAGCTTTCACAAGTTAACATGCCTCCAATGTGACTGTAACGCGCATAACAGATATAGGTGCTGAAAACAAATATAGTTTGTGTTGTGCTGTGTTGGCGTAGCTTAAAACATTGGACTTATTTTCTTCACCGGTAACGTGACTTCAGACCTACGCACCCTCTTACTTATATTTTTTATAACCTATTTATCGTAGTCATTAACGGACACCAAACAACTTATAGTCGTATATACAATTAGAACCATTCATTTACTTTATTCTGAAGCCATGTATTAAACGCAGTCATGTTAGACACAAGTTTGATTGGAGTCGGCATTGTTCTTGTCGTATGTGCAAATGAAACGGTACGTCAGATACAAACATGTTGGCGTGCATATGCCTGAAGTGGCCAGAGGGTGGCGCAAACACGTAAACACCAGTATAAACAAATCACATCTTGACATGAACCGGAACAGCCGGTGTCTCCTCTGTGGGCGGGATTTTCTCACCCATTTCCTGCAGAGGATTCAAGGGAGAAGGAAGCAAAGAAAGAAATGAGACGCGGCCAAGCAGCTCAGCCATATAACTACAATAAAATAAAAAAATAAAATAGAAGGTTTTTTTTAAATTATAGCTCCATGAGCTCAGCTCCAGTGTTGCCTAATTACTTTCATTGTCATCACAGCGCAACAAACGTCACTGTGCGTCATGCTGCGTAGTGTCGTTACGTGCCTTGCGTGCAGGCATCTAGTTTAAGTAATCAAGATTTACTATTGTCACGCCTATAATGATCGGGACGCTGTGCTTGAAGTTTACTGAATGAAAACCTAGTCCGTTTAAGGTAGGAGCGTAATTTGCCTGTATTTATTTATGTATCAAAATATTTATAGATTGTGTCTAAATCATAGACAGTCTATGAGCTAAATGCACAGTGCTTCGAATAGGCAATTTCATGGACGTTGATTAACTATGGGCCGGTGTCTAAGTACGAGTGATGTGCTGTCAGGGGGCTGAATGGAGACAGACGTGAGACTGATTTAGTAATTATTTGTCTACCTGTAAACACCTCAGCTGCATTTATGTGTCATTATACATACAGAAATGCTTCTTTACCAGTAAAGTTAAATGTTTGCTTAATTTTACGTTACAGCTACATTTACAACTGCTTTAAATCTATTGATACTTTGCAATGATATCACGCGGGGGTGTCCTGCATCAATTTGTAGATGTCAAAAAGCTTTAAGATAATAGGAAAACTCAAGAAAAAAGAATACAAAACTGTGACTGTAATACTATTTGGTAGGGACTTGTTAACACAACAACAGATCAGCTCACCTGTTGTAGTTCCAACTAAGTCGCATCTTTCTAGTTAGATTGTATATAAAGCTCTGGTTAAAGTCTAACAAGCCTCAGCTAGAGCAGTGCCTACAGTTAGCTTCACACCCCCAGGAAATGTTGATGTACCAATATGTGATATGCATTATAAGGCTAACAGCTCATGTAGGCCATTATTTGGTAATAACATTGGGCCAAAATAACAAGATATATAGCACGGTCTTGTAATAACAATGTAATATAATATCATGACTTACCTGTTTGTGTTTTATCATTATCATATATCAACTTTAGATGCCTGCCTACGAGGAAAATCAGTCTAAGCTTATGCGCAAAGCCAAGGAGAATCCCTTTGTTCCTGTGGGTAAGTACAACTATATTTATATTACACTGTGGACATTGTTTATACATTGTTTTACATCAGTGAAGTGTCAGTTTGTGGAAAAAAGTTGAAGGTTACAAAAAAGGTTACAAGCAAGTTTTTTTTTTTTTTTTTTTTTTTTTTTTTTTTTTGACAGATTACATTTTAAGTTTAAGTAAATCTGTTGTCTTTTATTTTTATTATGTCAAATCTGCTGCCTGTTTCCAACCTGAAAGTCAGATTATAAACTTCACAAAAATGTAAAAAGTTGAAAAAACTGGGCATGATTTTTAGGACATTTTTAAGTATAATGATGTCAATTATGTTTTTTTGTGATCTATCAAACAATCTTATAAACAAACTAATGTATTTCTTTTTTTTTTTCCTGCAGGTGTCATATATTCAATGTACCGGGATTACATTGCACATCCTAGTGAGGAAACCAAGGACAAGTGATAATCAGCAATACCCCATTTCTTTAAAAATAAACATAGTTAGCTTTTAACTGAATATTTAACTGCTGCATTCAATTCCGGTGAAAACTCAGTGTCAGGGAACAGGAAATGAGCTTCTGATGTTATCCTGATGAGTTATGAGTTAAAGTGGTTCCAACAGAGTGGTTCCAACAGGTAACATTCCAGCCTGTTTATCCTTTCATTTATACTAGAGACAAATATATATCGAATGGTCAATATATAGAGACAATATTTACATTTTTTACTGCATCAGCTATCAGCCTTAAATCAGTGGCTAAAATTTAGTTTGGGCCAACCAGCGGCCAAAGCTTGAGTATGAAGAGGACCCTGCACAAAATGTGGTTTCACAGCTTTCTTATTCAGTTTGTGTTAAAACAGGTTTGTGGATGAGTTTGGAGTAAATTAAAATGACATAATTTGGGCAAAATGATAAACATTGGCCCTACATAAAATATTGGCAAAGCTAATTATTTGCTTTGGATTCTAAAAAAAAAAGGTATTTGCATCAGCCATGAAAAAAAAAACATCTGTTAATTTCTAGACTTCTAGATTTCTACAAAAACAAACACTCACATACACTCACACTTTAACCAGGGAAGTTTATTATTACCACGCCTCTTTAAAACAACCACTTTGCACATAATATATTTTTACAGTTGGGTCAGTCTGTATGAAATCAGCCATTTTCAAGGAATCTCCCCTATGAGCCATCTCAGATTTGGCTGAAAATTTTTCCAAAAATTTCTAAAATCACCAGATGAAAGAATCTCAATTTTTAGCTCAATCCCTTGAGTTGTTCCTGAGTTATGGCGCGTTGAAATTTTAGGACCATGTTCACTTTTTCTGAAGCTTTAATTTATAAGCATGTTTGAGAGACCATAACTTCATAAAAAGTAGCTAGGAAACTGAAAAAAATGTATTATTGTAGATTCTTAGTCATAGATTCTGAATCTGTTTTCAAATATTGGGTATCTTTATTAAGGAGAGCGCTGTGGGCCCCCAAAATCTCACATTTGGTTGCCGCTCAATTATTATTATTTTTTTCAATTTTTGAGATCCAAGATCTATTTACTCCAAGCAGATATTTACAAACTAACTATTGAACCTGAATATTTGAGAGAATGACCATTACTGACAACAATCTCACACTTTTCTGAGCTTTCATGTGGATGGTGTAGAGTCCCAAATATGGTCACAAACCAAATGTGACCATATGGTTCCACATGTGGGCACAGTTAGATGTTGATAAAAAAATTACCAGAGAAACTTTGGCATATTCTGATTAGTTTAAAATAATAAAAACATTTACTATTAACTTCCTTCATTTCAAACATAATTTTTAAATAATTTAATAGCCTTAAACACTATTTACTTGTTATAAAGGAAAACAATTGGAGATTATTTGTGGTACATTGCTTGGAAAAGTGTCATTAATCCTTTGAGAAAATTCAACTGTTAACTTCATACAAAATTATGAAAAAAGGTTTGTTTGCATTATTTATTCTATTTTTATTTGAGGAAGATGATTTGTTATCTTGCCAAGAAACAGCTTTTCATGGTGTATAAGTAAAGAAAAAGATAGTATTGATGGAAAATGATCAAAGGCAAATTACATTTGGAATACTCATAGCCTGTTAAATCACAAAATCTCTGATTCTATAACCATGGCTTTCAGTATCACCATATGCATATTAGTTTTTCACAAATATATAGCAAAATGTCAGTAACATTAACAAGGAAAAATTTTATACTGACACAAAAATTACCAAAATACAGTAATCTGGTCTGTTATTTGCCACCTACATGTAGATAATCTGTACTGGTATCAGTGTTCCTAACTACTAATGAACTTCAGAAGTAATGTTTGGATCCTGTCATAATCTGCAGTGTCAAGGTGATAATTTTTCTTCCCTGAATTTCTGGTACCTTAATACAACAGATTCTGTGCTGAAATGGGACCCAACATGGTTCTGCCGATGTTCTGGAGGACACATGAGGGTTCTGTCGTCATCCATTCATGAATCTCACATCGACATCACCATGTTCATCTGAACACTCTGAAATATTCCCAATGAACCACCTGATGTCATAAATACATGCTCTGTATTGACCTGCTGGTACAGAGAGAAATCTGACACAATCTCATTTTGTATTTCAGAAACTGAAACTTCAGCACATAAATGATCTTGACATATTCTCCTCATTTCTAATTTGACACTGGAATGAAACTGTGGCGTGATCTAGTACCATTCACAGTCTTTGTCTTGCTGTAGCGTTCTTCTAGTTTGGAAGTAAGTTCATGGTTTGTAATGTCTTTAGAGCTTGTAAAGAAAAACTTTACATTCATAAATTTTTTTGTGAAGTTCACTCAAACATCTGGGGTGCAGTATTTGATTGCTGTCAGTTGTCTGCAGACTCGTTCTTGCAGCCGAGCGTTTTACTGTGCCACCAAAACCATCACAAGCAACGTGCCACAAATAATCTCCAACTGTCTTCCCTTATAACAAGCAATTAGTGTTTAAGGCTATTAAAGATAATTTAACCTTTCTAACAGGTGGAAAAGTACCTATAAGCTCCACCAAAAATGACCCATGAGAGCTCATTTTCAAAAATTCAGATTAAAATTAAGAAAGTTAATAGTAGATGTTTTTATTACTTTAAACTAATCAGAATATGCCAAGTTTCTCTGGTAATTTTTTCTTTTATCAACATCTAACTGTTTGGCCCCACAGAAGGGGCCAAAAAGATCACATTTGGTCTGTGACCATATTTGGGAAAGTTCAGAAAAGTGTGAGATTGTTGTCAGAAATTATCATTCTCTCAAATATTCAGGTTCAGTAGTTAGTTTGTAAATATCTGCTTGGAGTAAATAGATCTTGGACCTCAAAAATTGAAAAAAAAAAATTTGAGCGGCAACAAAATGTGACATTTCAGGGGCCCACCGCACCCAATATTTTGAACAGATTCAGAAAATATGACCAAGAATCTACAATAATACAACATTTCATCTTTCTAGCTCTATTTTTTATGAAGTTATGGTCTCTCAAACATGCTTATAAATTAAGGCTTCAGAAAAAGTGAGCATGGCCCCAATATTTCAACGTGCCATAACTCAGGAACGACTCAAGGGATAGAGCTAAAATTTGAGATTCTTTCATTTGGTAATTTTAGAAATGTTTTGAATTTTTTCAGATAAATCTGAGATTGCTCATAGGAGAAGGTGGCTGATTTCATATGGACTGACCCAGTTGTATTATAATTTATGTTGCACTGCTGTGTTTACTGACAATGTTTCATTGCCTTTTCAATAAAACAGTCTATCCTTTTCCCAGCAAGATTACAAAGATAAAATTTAAATAACAGATTAAATATGTGCTCTTCAAATTTTATGTTTGTAATCTTACTGATCTGTCAGGTCTCTTGTGTGTGTATGTTTAATGAACGGATACAATTTATTTTTTTTTATTACAGCTGATATCATCCCCTACTTGCTGTCATGTTGTTAGAGAATCAAAATTGACTTTTTATTTTACCAGGCAGGACATTTAAGCTGAAGAAAAGAAAATATAAATTTCAACAAAAATGAACAAGAAATTAAACCCCCCAAAATTAACTTTCCAAGTCACGTTCCTGTTATTCTCTCGCGAGAGTTGTATTTGCGTACCTTTGAGGAGCCGTTGCTGGGATACGCAGAGACGCTCCAGAGGCAGAGGGTGGGCGCTGCATTTTTCACCTCTCGTGATGCAGAGTTGAAATATTTCTCGCTGCCGACCGTGGTAAACTAAAGGTAAGATATATGAGAATGTTAGGTACTTTGCTTAAGCTACCACTGTTAACTTAATATTCTGATTTCACGCATATTCCATGTGTCAATACAGCTTAGCTACCTCCATGTTAGATAATGAAACGCAAATTAACTAGCTAATGTTAAGTTACTCCGACCTGCTCTACCCAAATATTGCAGCCAACCGTTCTCTCCATTCAAGAAAAACACTGACACCAAACGAGTTTTAGAAAACTTATTTTTAGTTAGTTGGTTAAACTTTGAAAATGTAAAAACTATGGCGCCATATAACCTCCTACCGTAAAGCATGGGCAGTAAACAAATAACGATTAGCACTTTTATACTACCGCTGCTATGCTAATACACTACTACTACTACTACTACTACATACAAAGTATAAGAAGTGCAAGAATTTGATAACGGATAGTGAAAAGTTTATTAAAGATATAGGCTACTCAAAAGCAGTCGTTCAAAATCTGTATTAACGCTTTAATTTTAAACCAACGAATACCAAATATTAGTATTAAAATGCAAATATTGACAATAACCAACACTGCATACATAAACGACATGCATTATTCTCCACCCCACTGCCAAAATATACAGCCTAAAAATGGCGAGGGCTATTGTTCTTCGTCGATTTCTTTATTATTATTATTCTTTTTCCGACCAAATGATTGCATTATCAGATCGATCGGCCCGGCGAAAAAATTTGATAAACTGGGCATCACGACATTGACCGATGTGACCCGACTCAACAGTGCCGCCTAGAATTGGACCCCTATGGGAGTGAGGACAGGCAAAGTTTGTCGCAGGCAAACGAGGGACAGTGATAGAGAACAAGACAAGCCAAAAGATGAATTGGAGAATGCCCCTATGAAGAACAGGAAGTCGGCCGTATTGGATCAAACATTCGCCGCCGTTTTGACTTGGCTGTGTGCAAAAAGGTTCCCCAGTGTTTGGTCCAAATGAGCTCAGATTTGACATGTCAAATCTACAGACAAAAACTCACAAAAATCATCAGCAGGTTTTTTGATACTCCTTTTCGCCGGCGAAAAACACCTTAATTTCCCATTTATTTGGTGACCTGTCACGGCCAAAGGCATTGGCCTAGAGATCTCAAATTGAAATTACAATTGTGTAAGGTCTAAATGTAATGAAATATGAAATCTAATAAAAGTGAACTCTATAGCGCCCCCTAGCATAGACATGAAACATCAACATTATCGGATTTGGACCAAATTTGGGGATTAAATTCTATGCATGAATACGAGCAAAAAAAGTCTATTACAGACATGGTGCATTTTTCATAGTTGGCCACCAGGGATGCAAAGAATCCCCCCCAAAAATATTGTAAAAATTATTACACGGACATGCTTAATCTGATCATGCTGAAATTTTAATCACTAATGCAGGATTTCGCCCTGAATATAACACACTATAAAACATATGAAAAGTGAACACTATAGCGCTCCCTACCATACACACGAAACGTCAATATTATCGGATTTGTACCAAATTTGGGTATTACGTTCTATGCATGATTATGAGCAAAATAATATATTACGGACATAATGCATTTTTCATGATTGGCCAGCAGGGACGCAAAGTATTGGAAAAATGATTATACACGTTTAGTCCGATCGTGCTGAAATTTCTATTAGTTATACAGTGCATGACCCTGATTCCATTGATATGTCAAACACAATTATCAGTGCTACAGCGCCACCTATAGGAATGCACAAAATTTACAATGAGGAGAAATAAAATTTATTTCACGTTCATTTGTGAAATTTTGCAGAACATTCACTGACGTGCTCCTGATCATAAAAGTCAAAGAGACCTATGCCCTAGTTTTTACACTTTTGCTTCTAGAATCGTTCACATTATCCAATTTTAAAGGTGCACTATGTAACTTTTCTGGTGGAGGGTGTGTTTTTATGCATAGACTTAGTCTAACAGTGCTCTTGACCATAAAAGTCACGTGACCTGTGGCCTAGTTTCTATAGTTTGTCTCTAGAATCATTCACATTAATCAATTTTAAAAGGTACTCTATGTAATTTTTCTGGTGGACGAGCTGTCGGCCTGGGCAGCTGTCGGGAAGAGACAGTGGCGTGCCGGGGAGGTCACGAGTCCCCGGCGGTCACGTGGGAGTGGAGTGCGCAAAGGTTATGACATCAAAGACTATACTTTAGATGGATAGAATTAACGAACTCTCTTTAAATGCTTGTGGCTTGAATTCCCCTCCAAAGCGCCAAAGCGTATTAGACTTATTGCATAGGAAAAATACACATTTTGCATTCATACAAGAAACACATTTGTTTGGAAGCAGACACACACAAATTTCAGAACAAATATTTTAAAGTTGCAGCTGCTTCCTGCCATTCCAAAAAGAATAGAGGTGTCCTCATTGCAATTAGAAGGAATTTATCGTATAACAACCTGGGCAGAGGAGGTAATAAAGATGGCCGCATCGCATTTTGCAAAATTTTGTATAATGGTCTGAAAATTGCTCTAGTGTGTGTTTATGCTCCAAATGTATTCAACTACCAATTTTATGATACCTTGAACTCTATTTAGCTAGACCTCCCTGACTATTACCTTTTAATTGGAGGGGACTTCAATGCTGTGTGGCTCCACCACATGGACAGATAAGGGCAGAGGTAAACCAGAAAATGGCTTCACGTGAACTTCAAAAGTTATGGCTTATGTGATGCTTGGCGACTTAAGACTCCTGATGCCAGAGAATTTTCTTTTTATTCTGCACGCCACAAATCTTTCTCCAGAATAGATTATATATTTATTTCAAAGCCCTTATTTCAAACCATTTGCGGCACTGAAATGACTCCATGCGCTTTATCAGATCACAGAACAGTATCTTGTTCATTTATACCAAATTCCAGCCAATCAAGGGCTCCTAGATGGCGATTTAATGTTTCTTTGTTATACAATGATAAATATACGAAAACCCTTTCAGAGGAATTAGATTTCTTTATTGGAGTGAACCGAGACTCTGTAGATGACCCAAAAATACTATGGGAAGCAGTTAAAGGGTGCATATGGAATATTACAATAAGCTTTTCCTCACAACTAAACAGAGCAAATAAGCTTAAAATTGACAGCCTGGAAACAGAAATAGCTGCTATAGAAAGAGAAATGATTGCTAATGTGACACCAGAAAACACTAAAACTCGGCAAGATAAAATTCAACAACTAAATGAAATATTAAGGCAGAAAGCAGAATTTCAGATACAAGGGCTGCGGCAGAAACATTACTTAAATAGTGCCAGACCAAGCCGCCTTTTAGCCTATAAAATCCGTAACAATGAACAACTGGCAAATATATCTGCTATAGCCACCGAAGGAGGCACTGTCACCTCAGATCCTGAAAAATTAATAGTACATCTAGGAATTACTACAAGAAATTATATACATCTGAAGAGACATATAACAAAAAAAGCCTGTAGTGATTTCTTAAGATCCCTTAATTTATCTAAACTGCCACCTGAATCTGCCAATGCTTTAGAAATACCTGTAACATTAAATTAACTAAGTGAAGCCATTCATTCTATGAATAAGGGTAAATCTCCTGCTTTTTGGCCTCAGCTTGGCCCTTTACTCTTGGACATGATCAACTATTCAATAATCAAAGGATCTTTCAATGACAACGCCAATGTGGCGATTATCTCTCTGTTACTCAAAAAAGATAAGCCACCGACAGACTGCTCCTCCTACCGACCGCTCAGTCTTCTCAACACAGAGCTCAAAGCCTTTGCAAAGATACTTGCTAGCCGACTAGAACAACATATGCCTCAATTAATCCACTATGATGAAACAGGCTTCATCAAATCTAGATTAGCCTCTGACAACATTTGCCTTCCTTCATACATATTATAGAATCATCCTGCCAGTCTACAAATCAAAATGCCATTCTATCACTTGATGCACAGAAGGCGTTTGACTGGTTGGAATGGGGCTATCTGTGGGATGTGCTGCAGCATATGGGTTTTCTGTCTGGTTTTATTAACATGATTAGAACCTTAATCCCACTGCACTTGTGTTAACGGCTAATGTGTGTTCATCCAGGTTCACTGTGTCTCATTCTTCATGCCAGGGCTGCCCCCATTGCCACTTTTATTTTGTTTATCTTTGGAACCTATCGCACAATTAGTAAGGCAATCAAGAAAAATGGCGCCTATCACAATACATGATACAGCCCATTATATCTCCCTGTATGCGGATGATATTTTAATATACACTAGCAACCCATCAGAATCAACACCATATCTTCTTAATATATTTGAACTGTTTGGAAATGTCTCTTGTTACAGGGTGAATTGGGCTAAATCTGCCTTGATGCCTCTGGGATCAACAACATTAGATGAAACCTCTTATAGTATACCAGTAGTACAAAGCATAAAATATTTAGGGGTCTATATTCATTCCTCTCTTAACTCCCTGATTGAAAATTATAATTTATATATAATTTTTTATAATTTAATTATAATTATAAAAACTTGTTGCAGACCATAGATGGAGATCTTAAAAGATCTTCCAATGTCATTTCAGGCTCGTTTGTCAGTAATCAAAATGAATCTATTGCCCTGCATTAATTTTTTGAGCTCCATGCTGTCTTTAGCACCACCGCAAGGTTACTTTAAGAAATTACACTCTCTCATAAACACATCCTTATGGAATAAAAGAAAGCCCCGAATTAAAGGTTGTATAGAGGATTTTCCAAGGAACGAGAAATCCAGCGACTGTTTGTCCTTTTTCAAATGTTGCGCATGCGTGAAACCACCCCCCCTCCCCCACAGCTCCCTACGTAGAAACGCCTCCTTCCGCCTCATCCTTCCGCCAGAAACCGGTGCGCTGCACATGACTTGTAAACAACTAACTACAGTGTTGGTTAGACAAGGCGGAGAAGTGAGGAGCGGGGGGAGGGGGTGCGCGGATATTTCGTGCGCGGACAAGAAGTGAGAAGCAGGGCGAAGAACGGAGCGGGGAGTGAGAAGAGGAGAGAGGAGAGGAGAGGGGAGCGGTGCATGGAGATTCCGTGAGGAGCAGGGAGAAGAGCGGAACGGGCAGAGAGGGGCACAGAGAGGGGGGCGCGGAGATTCCGTGCAAATGAACTAGCTACTACTACAACACGCAGCAAGCGGACTCTTTCTTTGCCTTGAAAATTAAGTTTTCAGACATAGGATATCGCATTCGTGTCCTGAAAAACGTTTGTCTAACTCTTGAAAATAAAGTACGTTTTCATAATAAGCAGAAGTGACCTGTCCAGAAGTAATTTGGCGACCAGTGCGTCAGTCTTTAGACCCTGTGTCTGCTTCATTCGCGCCATCGCTGGAATGAATCTTCAAGAATCACCTTAGTTTGGTTTCGCTGCTTTTCCCCTTGTCTTCTTCTTTCAGCGACCTTAAAAAACGGACTTTGTTTTGGGGCTAACTGCTCGTAGATTCTTGTCTGCCATTGCAATAAACTTTGTGCTAACTGCGAGGAAGATATAGGTCAAAAAAGCCGCTAAGAACTGTTGCGTTGGTGGAGTAAACAGCGTCTACGCGTCTATGGACTGCGTGACAGGCGTACATAAACCACGTAATGGCAGCGCGCAGGCAAGTCAGTTACGCTAGAAACGTAGTGAGTTTGATTGACAGCCTGTCAACTAACAGATAACGAGGCAGTGTCGTTATCTATTGGCAAATGTTTAGCTTGCCCCACCACGTCCAGAGTTGATGAATTTTTATTCTCTTTTTTTGGTCATCATAATTACAAGGCTACTGCATCTCTATATTGCTATCATTGACAATTTGAAACAAAAAAACAAACAAAAAAAATCCTCCATACAACCTTTAAGGCCACAACTCTACATAGATTAAAATCTCCAGGAGGAGTGGGCCTCCCTAACTTTGAATGGCACTCATGGTGTTATGCATTAAGATCTCTAGCAGTATGGTTAAAATCTGGTAAATCTGCAGCATGGATACCATTTGAAGAGCAGATAATAAAACCTTACAGTATGCCCACTTTCTTATACTCTAAATTGCCACACAAAACCATTAAAGGCCATTATGGATCCATTGTTACACATTTTATATCAGTATGGGACAAAGTCAACAGTTTTATGGGGATAGATGACCAATATTTCCTTCAGACACCAATCTTCCATAATTATTCCCTGCTAATTGACAAGAAACCATCTCTTTTACACCATGGGAGCACAAAGGGGTTACTAACTTCAGTAATATCATAGGCCAGAAAGGATTAAGAGAGTTCCATGATTTACAAAAATGCTTTAATCTACCAGGTACTTCGTTCTTCTTTTACCTTCAGCTGCGCACAGCATTGCGGTCCCATGGTGTTCCTTGGGGATGCATGCTAAAAAATCACCCTCTTCATTCTATTTTGAACAAAGCAGAAAGCTCTGGTATGATTTCTGAATTATATAAACTAATTGTTAAGTGCACACAAAAAATTCTACCTGTCGTGCAGCTTTGGAAAATTGAATTGAGGGATCATTTGGAGTGGGATTGGAACCAGATTTGGTCCACCATTTTGCTTTTATCAAGGAATCCCAATCACCAGATGATTCATTACAAAATTATTCATAGAGCTTATTTATACCTTAGAAAATTACACCAAATGAAAATAAAAGACAATTCATACTGCGATTTTTGCATAGAACAAACTGTGGGCACTTATGTACATATGATATGGGAGTGCCCGGAGGTGGCACAATTTGGGAAAATGTCACAAAGGCAATGTCTAAATTAATAGGAATAACCATACCTTGCACTCAGAGGTTTCTTTTGCTAAACGACATGTCCAAACTAAATCTGACAATTAACAATCGTCGCATATTACTAGCAGCTGCCAAAAAAATTGTAATATGCCATTGGAAATCAGTTCAACCTCTGACTGTGAGAGAATGGCTACTATCTTTCACAGAAATTGTTCAACTGGAGCTTTCTGCTGCTCGAATGCACAGAGCAAAAACCAAAAACATTTCTTGCTGGTCCAATCTATTGATCAAACTGAGATCTGAATCTATTGTATAGTTGTTACCTGGAGATTTTTCATTATAATATATGTTCTTAGAATGTACACAATATGTATACTTTCAGTAAACTTTCTATATATGGTACATAACAAGTATGTATAACGCAATTTCTGCTGATGTCTTTTGACATAGGAAATTTGCTGTGTTTTGTATAGAGGGAATATAAACCTGGATATGTTTTTTTTTTTTTTTTTTGTGGGTGTGTGTATGTGAATGTGTGTATACATGTGTATGTATATATAACATATATACTATAATATGTGTATATGGGTATGTGTGTTTATTTAGATGCTGTATATATGTATTATATATGTATATGTGTGTGTACATATGCAGTGTTGGGAAGGTTACTTTTAAAATGTAATCCCCTACAGATTACAGATTACACACCCCAAAATGTAGTTTGTAACGTAATCCATTAAATTACTTAAAGTGAGTAACGTAATCTGATTACTTTGGATTACTTGATATTGTCATGTTTTTTTAAATGACATGAATGTAGCAACCACATCCTGAAAATTCTTGTTTGTTGTCTTCAAATTGTATGAGCCCAAGTCTCCATGAATAAGCAACTGTTTGCTGTAGAGAGACAAAGACCACGATATCTTAATATAAGAGGTTTTGTCTGTTAAAAGACAATAACAAGATAAGCCTTTCCTTAATATTAAAAAATATTATTGATAGAGAAATTATTTTTTATATGAGATCACCTTAAATTATGTCAACCTACTGTTAGGTGTCATGTTGTTTAGACCTGGTTTAGTCCTGGTTTAGTCCTGATTTTTAGACCTGGTTTAGACCAGGTCTAGACAAGGTCTTTAGTTCTGGTTTAGTCGTGGTTTAGTCCTAGTTTAAACCTGGTTCAGTCCTGCTTTAGTCCTGGGTTAGTCCTGGGTTAGTCCTGGTTTTAGTCCTGGTGTTAGTTCTGGTTTAGAGGTGCACAGGAGGAAGCTCGGTTTACACGAGAAAACACAGTCCACACGCGGCGCACGAGACGGCGGTGTCCGCGCTGTAACTACGGAAGGAGACGTGGTCCGCGGGTTCTCAGGTTGATGACGATGATGAAGGTGTGTGTTGGTGTGTGTTGGTGTGTGTTTGTGTGTGTTTGTGTGCGCGTCCCCTCATGTTGCAGGTCATTATAGGACAGTAGTGCAGATATTATGAGTCTATGCAGGTTGTTTTCACCAGTGCCAGTAGCTCCGGTTTCACATTTAAGTTGTAGGCAATTTTATATTTGTTTTTTTATATATATATCTCACATCGGGAGAAAAATTTCCAAGACACAAATGCGTTTTTACCAATGCACTGCTGCTTCCACTGTGTGACTGACACCGCCAACTTTAACATGACGTTTCCATCGCTCTTATTTGCGCGCGTTCTGTTTGGGTTTCCAGCAATGAGTGAAATTACCAAAATAAAAAAATAAATAAATGGGATGTAGCACAAAATGTGAAAACAGGAAAATACCACCTTGTAATCCACTTATTTCAGCAAAGTAACTGTAATCCAATTACCACTCATTGAAACAGTAACTGTAACGGAATACAGTTACTCATAATTTGTACTCTGATTACGTAACGGCGGTACATGTAATCCGTTACTCCCCAACACTGTACATATGTATGTTGATCAATAGGGAGTTTATGGTTGGGGGGTGGGGGGTTTAAAAGGGAGAAAAATGCAATACTAACTAGAATATGTATAACTGCAAATAATAACACTTGAATAAAAATTTGATCACAAAAAAATTAAATGCATGATAACAAACACTAAAATACATTACGGACACGGATATTTTTTCACAGTTGGCCAGCAGGGGCGCAATGACTACTAAGAAATATTTAAAAGGTACACTATGTAATTTTTCTGGTGGACGAGCTGCCGGCCTGGGCAGTATCGGGAAGAGAGAGTGGCGTACCCGGGTGGTCGCGAGTCCCTTGCGGTTGCGTGGGAGGGGAGTGCGCACCGGAGCGAGGACCACCATCAGCGCGCGTGGCTTTAATTGAAATTAAATATGCTTATGTTATGTTTATGTTTATTTTTATTATGCCCACTGTCTTCCTTATCATCTGTTTAACACAAAAACATAAAAAAAAAAAAATAAAAAAATTCTTCCTTTCTTCTAATCTTGAAATAGCCCATGGATGACAACAGTGCCCTCACCGAACTGCAGCGCCAGTTTGAGGTTCTTCGGAAGCAACAGGAGAGGAGACAACTGGATCTGAAGACGAAGGAGGCACTGGACCCTGTTGGAAACACAGAAAACCTGGGACAGTCTAAACAACGCATTCCAATTGACACGGCAGAGGAAAGGTATTCACGTCATACTACGGGATAAGACTGAATTAAGTGAAAGTAAGTTTAGTTTGTAGCTTTAGACTTTATCCTTTTTTCCTGTTGAGAAACATTTAGTTTCCATTTGATTTTTTCTTCAGCCTCAGACAGGTTCCCTCTGGGTGACCGCAGGGCAGTACCCAGGACCCCCTTATCAGATCTTGAGCCAGGATCATGGTCAGGACTTGTTGTTATGTTCTCCAGGTATAGGTGGTTGTTTTGCCCCAACTGAAACCATGCCCCCCAACCCTTTAAAAGGTTGCATTCACATTGTACCATGTAAAGATACCATAGTTTCAGATGGAGGACAGCGCCCTGTATAACTCTATGGGACATACAGAAATAACAGAAATTTGTGATCCACAAATGTTAACTAACACGAATTATATCTTGAATAAAGCCACCATTTTTGATAGACTGAAAAAAATGTTGAATCACTTTTTTTATTTATGTCTTACAGAGAAGACGTTAAACTTCAACGTGTGCCATTTTTTAATTCATGTTGTTACAGTAGCTACAGAGATACTGTCCATTCTTATTCTTATGTATCTCTTGTTCATGTGAACACAAACTGTAAAATATGATATTGAATAGTTAGCTTTTGGTCTGTTGAATTACACTTTGAGGGGGAAGGCTACAGTACATACATGAAGAGGTTCCTGTCTGCACTGCCTGTACTCTAAGATGTTACAGAGAATATGTTATTAGGTTCTTTTTTTCAGACCTAGAGTGTTATTTGCTGTGACGTGACAGCAACATCACGTGACCACTCTGAGGAAGACGCTAGTGAGCAGTCGAAACTGTCAGGTATGAAATAACACTCTAGGCCTGAAAAAAAGACCCTAATAACATAGAATATTGGAAGACCAAATGAATCTCATTGGACTATGTTACAGAGAAGTTTTATGCTGTGAAAAGAACGAAGCTGATTGGTTTAAGCAGAATATTATAATAGTTTAGTTAGTTTAGAATAGTTTAGTGTGGCCTTGGTTCACATGGGATCTTGGCATTCTTGAAACGAAAGTAAACACTTCATGACATGTTGTTCAGTGCATCTTTAGTGTTTCAAAGTGCATGACGAATACAGAGGAATAATGATATAACTATTTTCTATCAAATATCAGGATTACTAATGAGAAGACATTCTTGCCCAGCTATACAAAATAATAGGCTCTTAGGTAATGTGAAAAATAAATAATCATATATTTAGTATGTTTTTGTCAGAACAAATTCAGGCATTATTGGATTCAGCCAGCTGTTTGAATGAGCCCTGTCATTTATGTGTATTCTCATTACAATTACTATTAGGTCAGCACAACACAAAATAATTACAACATCTAAGTCTTTACTCAACAGACTAAAGAATGAAAATGAGAACTTGACGGACCAACTGCGTGCCCTGAAGGATGAGAACGGAAAACTGTTGAAACTAGTGAGTGAAAAATTTTTTGAAATCAAACACCTCCAGAAGAAGAGAGAGGAGGAGAGGCTGGCATTCACCGGTGAGACCTTGGGAAGTGTTATCCTGGAAGCACTGGTGTGAGTGGAACTGACTTTGTTTGTTTAGGCACGTCGGGAGTGGCAGGGGATGTAGCCGCGATCAAGATTGTGGAGTTGTCCAAGAGAAACAGGGAGCTGACAGTCGAAATCGAGCGTGAGAGGATCAAGTCAAAACAGAAGAGCAACGCTATCAGAGAACTGGAGAAAGAGGTGACTGCTTTTAGAGTTATGACCAGAGAAACTTAAAAAAATGTGTGTTAAAATGACCAATTAGAAGGGAGGTCAAATGATTTAAGTCTACTAACCAAATAGTGGTAACCCTTTATAATAAATAAACTTCAATTTAAAAATTCAGACTTACTTTAATAATACCTTAACCCTAATGAAATCTCAAGTTTCCTCAGTCTCCTTAGAGCTAAAGGTTAATAAAATGTAGGTAGTATCAAGTGATACATAAAATAAATAATCACTCAGTCCACAACAATATTGTAAATTTGCAGAGACAAAAATGTTTTTTATTGTTTTTTTTTGTTTTTTGTTTTTTTTTTCTTTTACAGTTACAGAATGCATTGATTAATCCTGGGAACAGTCAAGCAAAGTCACAGTCGGGGAAGGATTTGGAGGTAATTTATCACTTAGATGTCATCACATGTATGAATATGATGTAAACCTGGGGTCTTCAACCACCATCTGCCACCAGGCCCCAGAGGAAATCATGACATATTTTAAAATGTATTGTATTTTTGTTTTGTTGATATGTCCCTGTGTTTTACTAGGAAAATATAGTGCAAATTAACCTAATAAATAAGTACCGGTAATAAGTAGTAGTAGTCGTTATAACACATTTTAAAAACATATAGGATTAGGGGTTGTACACATTTTGAACTGTTGTTACTGGCCTTGCCCCCTTCAAGCACTTGTGACAGTGCTGATCCTTGCTTAGTTTGATACTATCAACACCTGTTGTTAATTATAGTGTCACTATTACTCTAAAATTACAAATGCATTTTGTGCAGATCAAAAAAGTTACAGACGTACAAAACAAGAAACAAGAATTTATTATTTTTCTTCTTTTATCAACACCCATAACATTACCCATTTATTTTTATCCAATCCAACTTTATTTGTTTAGCACATTTTATAAACAAAACAGTCTCCAAAGTGCTTCACGTAGCAATGTAAAACATTTACTTAAAAAAAAAATCTGCATAATTATGTTTCAATCATGAGGAAACTAATAGAATCGATAAATAAAATAATAATCATAAAATCAATGAACAAAAATAATAAAATCAATACATAAAAGCTTAAAAAATAGATAAAAACAATAAATAAATGAATAAAATAAATATAAAAGACACAGAGAACCACACAACTCGCGCCATATTAAAAGCCAGAGAATAAAAGTGGGTCTTAAGACAAGACATATTCCACTGTGGGGGCTGTCCCCCCTGGTTTTAGGTCTCATTTTAGGCACCACAAGCTGGAGCTGGCCCTCGGACCTCACCGCATGTTCAGGGGTGTAAATCTGGATGTATTGTACTGAGATGAATTTTATGTTGACAGTTCATTTTATAAGGGCACAAATGTTTTGGACAATTGAGCAGTACAGTTGTTGTGAATAATCACCAGCGTCATATGAGTGAACTATCTTTGACATTTAAAAAAATCTGAAGCCACTGAAGCACTGCTGTGTGTTTAATCTTTTTCAGTATTTCACATTAGGCCACAATTATTACTATATCGACTTATTGTTCAATATATGAAAGCTGGAACAATATATTTTGGAGATCTGTATTTATTATGTTTATATTTTCTTTGCAATATTGGGGAAGTTTGCGTTATTTTAGTTTTGAGCTGTAGATGCTTGAATAAATAAGTTCTATGGCCAATTATTGATTCATTATGTTGCTGCAAATCATGCTTTCAAATTATGCTATTTAAACATGGTTTACTGGGATTATCTTGCTTTATTACTTATGTGTCGGTGACATAACGTAGTTAGACCCGAGCGCCAGAGGCTGGCGAAGGGCCTATTAGTTAGTTTATTTTTTAAATAATTATTTTATTTGCAAACTACATACATTACAAAAAATAGGAACTAAACAACATACGAGATACAAGACAAACATGATCAAATATTACATACAAATAGGGACAAAGGTGACGGACTGGTGACAGTGTGGACCTTGTGTGTGTGCGTTTGTGTGTGTGCATATGCGTGTGTGTGTATGTATGCGTGTGTGTGCATGTGTGTATGTGTGTGTGTGTGCACGGGGGGGAAATGGACAGGCTATTCAGATGATTTACTGCTGACCTGTATTATTAGTTAATTTGAGTATTGAAAATACGTTACCATAAGTATGTATTGGAACTTTGCCTCAGATCTCCACTCAAGTCAGAGCAGGCCGCGCAACGCCCATGCCCCCATGGCGGGATGCGGGGGCCACCCCCAGGGCCCTGATCGCGACTGCCCACCCTCGACGAACCACCTCCTGATCTGAACGCTCCAGCTCCCTGATATATATGCACATGTGCATACATTCACACGCACACATGCATGCATGCACCTGCCTGCACAGGAACATACGCACACATCCACATGCACAAAAGCACAGACACTCAGGCACACCTTCACCCACGAACCCACACTCATCCATGGTTGACTTGTGATGCATTAAAAGTATCAGCGAGGTAAGGAGCTTGAAGGTAGACCAGAGAGGGAAGCCAGAACAGAGGGGAGGTCCTGACAGGACAGGGGAGTACAAGCTTGGGCACCTGTAGGTGGACCCCTACCTCCCCTGACAGCAGAAAGAGCCCAGCCCGCTAGGGACCCGAGGCAGATCAATGTCAAGCTGTAAGTGTATTAAAGTAATATTTTATATAGCCTGTCTATCCCATCCCTGTTTCTTTATAAAATAAAGTGGTGTGTGTTTGTGCAAGTGTGTTTGTGAGTGTGTGTGAGTGTGTGTGAGTGTGTATGGGTGTGTGTTGTGTGTGTGTGCAGGCGTGCATGTGCTTGTGTATGTACTCTCAGGACATCATGTATTTAAATTTCGAGCAGAAAGTGGTTGGCTACCAGACAAAGAAAAGAGTTAAAGGTGAATATTCAAATATGTTAAATCATAGAAATGACATTTGTAGGAAAATGAGGAAGGTGGACCAGGGTGACTGGGGTGCTGTTGTGTTGACGGGGGTGGTAGATGTGTATTCCAGTGAGATATAGTCAATGAGCAGGTTTTTCCAATGTGTCAGATGTATGCTATGCCTTGATTTCCAGTTCATGAGGATAGTTTTCTTGGCGATAGTTAGGGCCACAAGGAGAGGTTTATGGTTTTTATTATCTATTGTGATTATTGAAAGGTCTCCTAGAAGGCAGAGTGAGGGGGCATGGGGATGTGACAACCCATAAAGTGGGATAGTGAGTCCATGATTTCTTCCCAGAAGTGCCTGATGGGTGTGCAATGCCAGAAGGCGTGAATATAAGTGTCGGGACAGTTTTGTGTGCAATTTTTACAGTTAATTTCTGATATGAATCCCATTTGAACCAGTGCAATGAGTTCTGTGAAGGACCTTATATTGTATGAGTTGTAGATTTGCATTTTTTGTCATAAGATGTTTTTTACAGATCTGGGTCCAGAAGTCAGCATCACGAATGAGGGAGAGATCTTGTTCCCATTTTATTAACGGTAATGATATAGGTTGTTCGGAGTGAGATATTATTCTATAAAATCTTTGATAGGAGTTTTTTGGGGTAGGGGATATTGATTAATTCTAAGATTGCAGGGGGAAGGCATAGATTTGCTGTACTAGTATTTATTTTTGACTGTACAGAGGATTTGAGTTGTGAATATTCCAGAGGTTGATTACTCGTGGTGCCGTACTCCTGGACAAGGTGTACAAATGACACCAGCGCGTTATGATGGAAGATATGTTGTATATGTGTGATGCCCTTTTGCACCCAGGAGTGAAAATTAAGTGTGATTTTGTGGAATTTCCACCAGGCTGTCAGAGCGGATGCTATGGTTGTTACTTTGAACCATGAATGGTGTTTGATTGATTGGCTGAGAAAGGGGATATCTGAAATCTGAATGTCCTTACAGAGTGTTTTTTCTATGTCTAACCAGGTGTAATTTGAGTGACTGGGGTGTGTCCACTTATATATGTACTGTAACTGATTAGCCAGAGAGTAATGATAGAAATGTGGTGCATCTAGTATGAAGTGTAGTCAGTTTGATCCTTGGTGGCTTATTTTTCCAGTAGAACTTAGTGATTATTGAGTCGAGGGAACTGAACCAGGTGTTGGTGGGTTGGGTTGGAATCACTGAAATTACATCATTTATTTTTGGAAGTATTTTCATTTTGATTATGGCTATTCTGCCCAGAATGGATAGTGGTAGATTCCTCCAGCAGTATAGATCGCTGTCTATTGTTTTGAGTAGTGGGGTGAAATTGAGTTCAGTCAGCTCTGACAGTCCACATTATCTCAAGAGGTGGAACATCAAAAGTTATTCAAATTTTTCACATTCATCTTACGGTCTCTGAGCAGTGAAGTGACAAAAAAATACACACAGTTTCGGAGATTTACAAATTGCTCCCATTTGCTCAAACAAACTCCGAAATTCAGAAATTTTGCACAAAATTCCATTTTGTCATCCTGATCCAAAAGTCAGTGACACCCATGCCATATTTTGTATGCCATTGCCATAGCAATGAAATAAACTCTCCATGGCAACATGCCATTGGTAAAATTGACAAATGGCACAAACTTTGGCAGAATTCACTAAAATTTTAATCATGGGCACCCTGACCCTGAACAGACTGATGTAAAGTGGGTGAAATAGCGACCCCTAGAAAATTTGTGGAAAAATACATTTTTATTTATCATAGATATACAAAATTTGGCACTCACATTTGTGACATGGTCGCGATTCATCCAGTGATGACCAGACCCCATTTACATTGTGTTGCCATGGTGACAAGCCAAAATTTTGTCCTTACCAATGGGATATCCTTTCACAAACTTTGGCGTAGCCAAACCAAATTTTGTGGCTAGATGCATAATGGAAATAGGAACAAAAATGTATACTGTGAGCATGCCCCTTTACAAACCGGACATCTGCCATGGGTTGGGGTTGAGGTTGGGGTTATAGTTGGGATTATGACTAGGGTTATGTTTAAGATTAGGGTTATTAGCATTAGTGGAGGGTGTGGTGTTCTGAGGGATGCGACGTTTTGCAGGGCGCTGCGTTTGTGGGGCATACTGTAGGTGCACGTGAGGGCCGATTATTGCCACTTGAGGCTATATTTCCAATGTTATTGTTGATTGTTACATTTCTTGGTAGTAATATACCATGCTTCAAAATATGTTATTGTGACAGGCCTATTTTAAATTCTACAAAAAGGACAACATCCACACATTTGTTTTTATTTCACTAAGACACTTTTTATTTGCTATTTTCAGGAGCAGGGGAACCGTTTGGTGAAATCTCTTCAGGACAAACTGGCCGCAGCCCTCCTCAAAGTATCTGAATACCGCAACCAAATCCAGACTGTCAAACAGGAGCTGAGAATAGCGCAGAAGGTATAGACCATAATTCAGTCCTTGAGAATCACACAACAGTGGCTCATGTTTGATGCTTGTTTTTAGGTTTTGTGCAGTGAAGTGGGAGAAGAGGTCAACCTGCAGCAGTTACTCAGCTGTCCCGGGAGCTTCAGGGGCCGAGCACAGCAGATTCTGACTCTACAGACCAGGGTAAGTTCGCTGTAGTAAGCACAGGGAGACAGTAAGGCCAATATTATGCTATTTTCTCAAGATCAATGTTGTTTCGTCATCAAACAGTCCAGGAGTTGTGTTTTGTTTCATTCACATATGTTTAACACACCTGCGCATTTAGCCTGAGTACTTCTCTCAAACAGAAAACACTCTGTTCTGTTTTGTGATGTCATGTTCTCTACTGTCTTTTTAAACAACATACACCTTCATTAAAATCATTTTGATGATTTTTAGCCCTGGAAGGGTCAGTAGCTACTGAACTGAAGGTAAAAGGAGCTGTTAACATGAAAAATCCTGCTTCATGACAAGACATTACAGAGACATGCTGTGGAACATTCAAGACAAAGCAGTAACATCTCCATGGAGACAAACATGTTCCAGACCCTGCACAAGAAAAGTTATATTGTGAACCTTTAAGTAAACAATAATATATTCATCAAACAGCTTTCTATTCACTTCTAGTGACATTAGAAATTCTCACTTTTGTTTTTGTCAATTTAGTTAGAAGAGTTTTATTTCTAGATAAAAATGCAAATGCAAAAAGCGATAAAAGACAATCCTCTGAATTGACAGTATAAGTTTAAAGTATCTATAAACTAAAATTGCCTTGCTTTTACTTGGCAAGTCCTGCAGAACTAGCCATTGTTCAAAGTGCTTCAGTAAGTTTAAAGTGAAAGACAAATGAAAATTGACCGTACCAATTTGTCATCTCTTTGTGACTTCGGCAAAACTTAGACCATTAACTTTTTAACAATAGCTCAGAAGATTTTTAATACAGTGCCCTGATTCTTGATATACTAATAATAACTAATATCTAATATATGATATAATATATAACTACCGAAATATTAAAGAGCCCATGGTACAAAAAATTTACTCTTGTGATCTTTAAACTAATGTTGTTATCTCCTCATGGAGTCATGTTTTGTTCATTCACACAGTTATCTTTTATTTTTATGGCAGTCTGTCTACATCTCCAAATTTCAAAATGCTCTGTTCCACCTTGTGATTGGCAATTCCAGGGCTGAACTCATCCAGATTATCACGCAGGTAAACTGGACTCAAATGCAACACAAGTATACAAAAACAAAGTCTTAGTTTAATAACAGAAAGTGACCTATAACAGGTAATTAGTTTAATATGGCAAATCAGACTGAAAATACAACAGAGGAATATATGATTATCAAACCTGAATGAAAATATCTTCCAAAAACTGGGTAATACTGCTGGGATTAATCTCAAACAGGTACTCTAAACAGGAATAAAGCAGAATGCACAAAATGCAAACAGAATAAAAGATCAGAGTGTCAGAGAGCTTGAGTGTATGTCTTCACAGGTCAACAAACTAGCAAAGACTGAGTGAGCAGGAGGAGTATATATATATATATATATATATAGACTACCCTGATTGGGGAATGAGAAGCAGCTGTAGGAAAAGGAGGACTGGAACAGACTGGGAAATGGAGTTTAAAAACACAGTGAAGCACTTCCTGTATTATGACATCACAAAATGGAAAAGAATGTTTTCTGTTTGCAAGAAAAACTATCCTAAAATACGCAGAAATCCTGCATATTTAGGCTGAGTGATTGAGGCTGTGTGTTAAACGTGTGAATGATACAAAACACAACTCTGTATGTTTTTAATGAAGAAACACCATTATATCATTAAAACATTACATCGAAATTGAAATTTAGAGCTATCCAATTTCGATTTAATTGCCAGGGAAGGTAAAAACTGAGTCATAGGATTTCCAATTGTACTATCGGGTACATTAAATTAAGGTATTAAAGGTGCATTATGTTAATTTTAAGGTGAAGGGTTCACTACATGCTTGTCTTCATGGAGATGTTATTCTTTGCCTGGAATGTTCACAGTAAGGCATTAAGCACATCTCCCTTTTTTGTTTTATAGCTCAAAAACACCTTAAAAACCTAAATTCTGGCTCGCTTCTCCATTGATCTGACCATTAACCTGTCTCCATTGTGATTACCAGGTTAAATTCCATACTTTGGAATTTTCGTCTTCTGATCTTGAGCTAGGCTTTGTCAGGACAACCTTTGCTGTTGGATTTGACCATTTTACCTTTTGTACATGCTTTGGGCTGATGGGGGAAACCCAAAGAAAACAATTTGATCAGATTTTGTTGTGTTTAAATGGATAAAAGAAACTGACAACATTTTCTCTCTCATCTCTGTACACATTAGTTTGCCCTTTTTGCACAGTTTTCCTTCACAAAACCTTCAGAGTTGTGAACAATAAATTACAGTACCTTTTAGGAAATTGTAATGATAGAATGTGCCACTAATCCAGGTTGCAACACACATTAAGGAACATCCAGACAATTGTACAAGTTAAAAGTACTTGCTAGAAATACTAAAAATCTACTAGAAAATTATTTAGATATAAAATGTTCTATGAATTCAATATTAAAATACAGAAAACATGCCATACCAACTGAACCTCCCAGACGCCCTCGAGTGACAAACCTACATAGGACCACCAAAATACAAATAAATACCAAATTGGCTCAAACATACTATTGTCAAATAGGGATAAAGATTTTCATCTTACATTTTGCAATCTTATCTTAATAGTCCTGTACCAGTCTGTCTTACTGTATTAAATACATGAAAAACAGAACTAGTTCTTTTTAAATGGTTTACAGTGGTCCAACGTTATTCCCTTACTCTTACCTTATACATTCCGAACATCCTAATTATTCACTGTGATGACTTTGTAACTTTTTGAGACCAGAGTGTTTTACCACCACAATAAAGCTAACAACAATAGCATAATAACCTGCCTTTCGGACAGTAAAATGATTTCGACATATTTTGACCTCAAGTCCTCAAGTGCTTGTACAATATACCTGTACTGGGGCAAGACACATGTTATTCAAATACATGGGGAAAAATCTGGTACAGGCCCTTTAATAATCACTTTTTTTTTTTTTTTAAATCCTCTGAAATACATATTGTTCAAGAAAGTGTTGAATTTGAGATGTGTTTGCAGTTTTGTATTTTAGACATGCTTTAAAATAATCCTGGTTTACTCTACTTTATTTAGATTCTTTCTTTTTTAAATTTAATAGTTTAGCCCTATTGTTAGTTCACTAACCAAAAAGACACTACATTGTTAATGTTTCATTCACCTTTTATACTTTACCTGATAACATGGTATTCTGTTATTCGATTATTGGAAACTGCAATAACAACTCTCATGTCCTGTTTGCAACAGTGAATTAACAAGCCCTTCAGCTCCTCTGCTATTAGAGCTAATTTACACATCTAACACATCTAAGTGCAATGAGTTTGCAGTATTGTTTAATGACAAGGTTAAGGGCATAAAAAATTCCATCAGTTCCACAACGCAAATAACAAGCATGCAGCCGCAGAGACACTTAGAGTTGAGTCACTTTGCACTTGTAACTGACAAAACTGTCTTAGAGATCATCACCCGTCTGAGTTCATCTACATGCTCCCTTGACATGTTACCCACTAGATTTCTAAAGTCCACCCTCAACAATGTGGTTTCACCACTTGCTCACTTAGTTAACATGTCACTTCAATCTGGAACATTCCCAAGAGCTTTGAAAACTATATTTAATTGACTGTATTTGAAAGACCTCCATTAGCTATCTAGCTAGCTATTCTTCCTGGAGACCTATGTAGCATGTTTTGGGTTGGGTTGATGGTGGAAACTGGAGTGCCTGGAGGAAATCCATCCAGACATGGGGAGAACATGCTAACCCCACACAGAAAGGCCTGGGTGACCAGGGGATCAAAACCTTCTTGGTGTAAGGCATGAGTGCTAGCCACTCAGCCACCGTGTCGCCATTGCAAAACTGCGGTCATTGAGCTACTCCTAAAGAGCAGTCTGGATGCCACAGAACTGAACAATTTCCGACTCATCTCAGTTCTGCTGTTTTTTGGCAAAGTCCCTGAAAAAGCTGTTTACCAACAGCTTTCGAACTTTCTCCAAATGAACAGCTCCTTCGATGTTTTCCAGTCGGGTTTTAGAGTCCACCACAGCACTGAGACTGCTCTTATCAAGGTGACAAATGACATGGGCATCGCTAATACTGCACTAAACTGATTCAAGTCCTATCTAGAAGACAGGAAGTATTTGGTGAAATTGGAAACTGTGTCTTAGATCACAATGCCCTGACCTATGTGGTGCCCCAGGAGATGATCATTGGCCCCTTTTGTTGAATTTCTACATGCTGCCGTTAGGCCAGTTAATATGCAGCAATAACGTGTCTGACTACAACTATGCTGATGACACTCAGATCTGTGTCTCACTGCAGCAGGCGACTATGGTGGACAGTGGACTCACTTTGTCACTGCATCCAACAGATGAGTGTGTGGACGCAAAACAATTTTTTCCAGCTAAACTCAGACAAGACAAAAATCAAAGGTTTACTGTCTAAAGTAGACTTGGAGAGACTTATCCATGCGTTTGTCTCCAGTAGGTTAGACTCCTGTAACGGCCTCTCACTGGCCTCTTCAAATTAACTGTGACACGCTGCAGTACATCCAGAACGCTGCAGCTCGGTTCCTGACTTGAACCAGGAAGTACGAGCACATAGGTCCTGTGCTCAAGTCTCTGCACTGGCTTGCTGTGGCTCAGAGAATAGATTTTAAAGCGGCTCTGCTTGTGTACAAGTCTCTCCATGGCCTAGCACCAAAGTCCATCTGTGACATGCTAATGCCATATGAACCATCTCGCACTCTGAGGACCTCAGGGACTGGCCTCCTGCTGAAGCCCAGAGTCAGGACTAAATATAGGGAGTCAGCGTTTCAGATTCATGCAGCTAAAACGTGGATCATTCTTCCTGAAGGTGTGAGACAGGCCTCTACTTTGACACTGTTTAAATCCAGGCTCAAAACAGTTCTGTTTAGCTGTGCATAAAGGTTTTTCTTTCCGCTTCTCTCTTGTTTCTCATTTAACGTCTTTCTCTCTTTTTAATTTAATGATGAGTATTTATGTTTTGATTTGTTTATATTGTGATTTTAATGTATTTATTATTCTGTAAAAAAAATTGGAATTACTTTGCGTAATAACTGTGCTTCCATGCCTTGCCTTTGCCCTTTTGACTATAGTCAAAATGTTATGTGGTAATCACTAATTTGTTATCCTGACACTTGATTGATTGGATTTAATCATAGAGCCAATGTCACCATATCTGCATTTTCCCCACAGGTACGTGATCTGGAGCAGCAGCTAAACCAGGCAGCCCAATGCAGACCCCAGAGCCTCCAAAGTGTAGATGAGTCAGAGTTATTAGGCCCCTTCAAGAAGATGCCCCCACAAGACCGAAACCTGAATTACATCCGCTCCATTGAAAAAGAGAAGCGGGATATGTTTGAGGTGCAGATTTCAGTTATTTCACTTCATTGTGTTTTTTTGATGTCACTACGAAGAATTGTGCAGAAGCCATATTGATTTTGCACATAAATACGGAATATAAATAGAAATACAGTAACATGATTGAATTATAAATATGTTTTTTTAAGTTAAAAGATCAAATATATACAGACGTGGACAAAACTGTTGGTACCCCTCTGGTAATGAAAGAAAAATCAACAATGGTTACTGAAATAATTTGGAACTGAGAAAAGCAATAATAAATAAAAATTTCCTGACAAATAACCATTGAGCATCATACACTGTTTTTGATTTGTTGTTCAATAGAATTATTTTAAAAAACTAACTAATGAAACTGGCCTGGACAAAAATAATGGTACCCCTAGAAAAAAGTGTAAATAATTGGACAATAGGGATATGTTAAACTTAGGTGTGTCCTTTAATTGGCGTCACAGGTGTCAAACTTGTCCTCAGTCAGTCTGCCTGTTTAAAGGGGGACATGTGTCATTGTGCAGTTTGGAAACGTGATGGACACAACATTGAGCATGAACCAGAGAAAGTGAAGAAGAGAACAGTGTCAGGAGACTAGAAAGAAAATGACAGAAAAGCAGGTTAAAGATAAAGGTCATAAGACCATCTCCAAGCAGTGTGATGTCCCTGTGATTACAGTTGCACATGTTCTTCAGAAGTTTAAGGTCCACAACTAGAGCATTTTGCTCATGAGGAATGGGTCAAAATACCAGTTGACCAGAGCAGAAGTCTCATTGGCACTTACAGAAATGATCTGCATGCAGAGTTTGCCTCAAAAGGTTGTACAACAAAATATTATGTTAAGGGTACCATCATTTTTGTCCAGGCCAGTTTCATTATTTTAATAATTAATAATAATGAATAATAATAATAATTCTGTTGAACCACAGGTGAAAAGCAATGTTTGATTTTTGTTGGGCAATTTTCAGTAAATTTTTATTTATTATTGCTTTTCTCAGTTTCAAGTTATTTCAGTGAATATTGATGATTTTTCTTTTATTGCCGGAGGGGTTCCTATAATTTTGTCCACGTCTGTATATTTTTAAATAACTACATAATACATTAAGATAAAAGCAACTAATACATAAAGATATTAAGAAAATTACTTTACACCATCCAGTTGATGTCATTCACATTCCCTGACAGTGTAATGCTAACTGTACACACTGCTCTAGTTGGGACTACAACAGGTGAGCTGATTTGTGCTGTTAAACAAGTCCCCCTCAAATAACATTACACTCACAAGATGGCTAGCACTAGCACCTTTTTATAAATAAAAATAATGTATAATTTATGTCTGAAAATAATTGCTGGAAATCCATTGCAATATTTTTTGTTGAATTAAATGTTTCAAAAGACTATTGTACAAAGTCCTCGAGAAGGTTAATATCTAGCACATATATGCTTGGACTGATATAATAACTAATAATTTAACAGCTCCAAAGGATAATTACTATGTACATTGTAAATATATAATCTTCCTAATCTTCTGATTCGTTTTACAGAGAATTTCAGCTGATTATGACACTCTGCTGAAAGATCACGAGGATGTGAGGAAAAAACTGGATGCCTCAAAAGCCCGCAATAAATCCCTATCATCTGAACTGAAAAATCTCAAAAGTCAGATCTCCACTCTTCTGGAAAAGGGAAAGCATGACGATGAACTGGTGGATGCACTCCTGGTAAAACTAAAACATGTTTAAAAGGCCCATATTATTTGTTGTTTCTAGTCAAAATACATACCTTGAGTTGTGTTTTGTTTCATTCACACATTGTTATTGGGAGAACATGGTTGATAAGAATCAACTCCATAGCCAGATGAATAGTTATGTGAAAAAAAGTTTAATTGCATCAGGATGTTCCACGTTACATCTTCGACAAAAGAAAACCAGCAGTATTTATAGTTTTATGATAATGAGTAAAATGGGCACGTGTACACATGAAACCTTGATACAGAATATACATATAAGGCAAAAGTACATACAGTATTGGAAACTCATTGTATATCACTTAACGAAAACACTGGAAGCTCCAATATATGGAAAACATAAAAAAAAATAAAAATAAAAATAACAAAATTGGAGCGCTACACTGGATCAAAAAAAATTACGCATACAGGTGCTCATCAAACCGGAGGGCTTAGATTCTCATAAAATAGAAAAAAAGATGGCAGAGGCACTGTGATTTGCGGTGAATTTATTAATAATCACGCCAACGCATTTCGACTACTTGGTCTTCATCAGGGCCCTGATGAAACGAAACACGTTGGCGTGACGACTAATAAATTCACCACAAAGCAGAGTGCCTCTGCCATGCTTTTTTCTATATGGAAAACATAGTTGTAAATTTAACACACATCGGGAAAGTAGCAGAGGAAGAATTCATGCATACACACATATATATAACACACAAAGTCTGCAAATATAGGCTGTGTTCTTCTATGAAAACACTCTGTCCAACCTTGTCATGTCATGTGGTATTACAGGAAGTGATCCACTGTGTTTAAACTTTACACATTTTCACTAGAATCATTTTGATGATTTCAGACATGGAATTGCCAATCTCAACTGCACTAAAGATAAAAGGTAGCTGTTCACTTGAAAAATACCGCATCATGACATCACAAGGTGGAACTGAGCATTAAAGGTGCATTGTTTAACTTTTCTGGTGGATTGTCTGTCAGTTTTTCTAGGTATTTCTGAGCTGTATATCCACCTGTAAAAGAATTAATATAAGGTAGAGCTGTTTAATGTTATATTGTGGAACATGTCTAGCAGAGCAATGACATATCCATAGAAACAAGTAGGTGACTGACCCCCAACAAAAAAGTTACACATTGTACCTTTAAAGCTCACAAGCGTCAATTTTGCCTAATACAAGACCTTTAACATCCTGATCTTCTTTTGTGTGGACAGAAGCAGCAGGCTGAGATGCAGGATGTTCTCAAGCGCCTGAGTCTTCAGCAGAACCGACAGAGGCAAGACGATGACCCTGTCTCCTCTTCCTCCAGATCTTTGCATCACCCCTTCCCCTCCTATTTCTCCCCCCACAACTCTACAGGTCTCATACCAAAGCTGCAGCAAGTGGTGGCTGAGAAAGATGTTCAGATTCAACAGCTCAAGAGGCAGCTGCTCTCCACAAACAGGGTTAGTGCATGTCGTCTAACAAGTGACAATCTAAAGGAATGTTTGATTTAAGGATACACCGATAAAATACAGGTATCGGGCATCGGTTCTATTGGTATCCCATTTTGTTTTATAAACTGGCTAAAAATGTCTCATAATATTAAACTTGTATTTTAAAAAAGCTGTTCTGTAGTTAAAAGCACATTTGGATAAGTTTTTCCTTATTCGTTCGGAAATATAATTGCTGTTTTCAGTCTCTACCCTGGGATCAGTTGGTATCAAGTATCGGCAGATATTTAAAACCAACGTATCACCATGTTTACCGGAACAGAAAACCCTGGATCGGTGCATTTCTAGTTTGATTCCGTTCAGTGACAACATTTTCCTGATCTTTCTTACACTGACATGTGTTTTACAGCTAAAATCATGAAAATAAATAAATAAATGAATACATGCATTCTTACCTGGTCTCCACAGAGGTGACATAGAAGTTTAATGCCATACTGTAGAACATTCCTGGTATCTTTAATATACCAGATTAATGTGAAATAAATATATGAGCGAAGGATTTTACAAACTTTTACAAACAATGAAAGAAACAAAAATAGACAACCATCACCCATTTAATTAAAAATTAAATGCAGTTTTATCCTTAACTTTAATCTGTCATTATTCCATCTATTAACTTTTAAAAATAAACTAAAAGTTTTCTTACTTCTGCAGGAAGAAGCTGTATCCAGTGAGTCCTCTATCTGCAGTACAGTTTTTTCTCCAGAAGAGGGCGACCTCCCCAAGCAAAACGCACCTTGCATGTAAGACCTTTACAGTGCAACAAATTGAGTTTTATGACCCACATTTTTTGAGACTTGTACAGTAACAGTGCTTTGTTATAAATTCAATCTCTGAAACCGTTCCCTCTGGCGAAATGAGACGTTTTGTATTTTATTGATTTGATTTAATACCCAAGAGTTCTGTCACTGTCTTCGGGGATACATTTTAATTTCAACATTTCACTCTTTCCGCAGATCCGTGTCTAAATTTGGTCATAAACTGGTTCTGCCCGCGGTGGGAAGCATTATGGAGTTCAAGTAAGCTGACGCGTCACCCACTGTTAAAAGCTTTTCCTTGCATAGTATACCATTGCAATTAATCACGAGCTGTCAGGTGAGTTGGCATTATGTTTGAAACGACTTGTCTTTTGTCAGCGGCTCACTGGCTTCCAAATGCCCAAAGTGCTGCTGACGTGGGCCTCCGATCCTCCAATCCCCTGAATACAAAGCTCTGTGCTTGGAGGAGCGACGTGATTCAAAGCCCAAGCTAGCAGTGAAATATTTCCAGCTAACTTTGTACACACTCTAGAGTTACACTGCAACTATTGGTATTTTGCTGTGATATCATGCTGGGGAGTTCTGTATGTAGGCTATGTGTATGGAGGAACCATAAGTTACTATGGTGACTATGCACACATGAGCAAACACAGGCTAAAAAAAGTTTAACTGTTACCTAGCAGTTAGCTTCACCTTCCACGGTGGTTGGTCTCTCACCCTCATCCAGCTCAGTTCCCAGTACTGCACTGTTCTGGACTGAGATGTCCGTTGTTTTTCACGGTGTCTGCTGTAGTCACTCTTCCAGTTTGGGGGTTACGGCCCCGAATGCTCTGATCACCACGAGCACCACTAATGCCTTTACTTTCCAGGCTCTCTCCAGCTCCTCCTTGAACCCCTGGTATTTTTCTAGTTTCTCGTGTTCCTGATATTACCATCGCTTCGTATTGTGATATCCACCATCACAGCTCTGCTCTGTTGCTTATCCACCACCAATATGTCTGGTTGGTTCTCCATCACCATCCTGTCAGTCTGTATCTGGAAGTCCCACAGGATCTTGGCTCGGTCATTCTCCACAACCGTTGGAGGTGTGTCCCACCTTGATCCTGGGGTCTCCAGCCCGTACTCTGCACAGATGTTTCTGTACACTATGCCCGCCACTTGGTTATGTCGCTCCATGTATGTTTTCCCTGCCAACATCTTACACCCTGCAGTTATGTGCTGGACTGTCTCAGGAGCCTCTTTGCAGAGCCTACACCGTGGGTCTTGTCTGGTGTGGTAGATCTGGGCCTCTATTGCTCGAGTACCCAGGGCCTGCTCCTCAGCAGCGAGGATGAGTGCCTCTGTGCTGTCTTCAGACCAGCCCTCTCAAGACATTGGTAGGATTTCTTGATATCAGCCACTTCAGTTCCAGTTCAGTCAAATAGTACGCCCCATGTAGGGGTTTGTCCTGCCATGACGGCCCCTCCAGCACCTTTTCCTCTGGACCCCACTGTCTGAGACATTCTCTGAGAACCTCATGTGTCAGGGCCTTGTCCTTGATGTACTCAAGGAGCTTGGATATTTTGTCCTGGACAGTGGTTCCCACACTCTCTAGTCCTCGGCCTAGCCTTGCATACAGTCTCATGGTGCTGGATTTGGGATGGAACCTTCCATGCATGGTCAGGAACTTTTGTGTCTTAACATCAATATGCACATACATATATTAGGGCCCGACCGATATGGATTTTGTTGTGGCCGATATGAAATCGATAAAATGGGAGTCAGGGCTGCCAATAGCCGACACAATCGCCAATATTTTTAGTGATGTAAAAATTCACTGTAAATCTTGAATTGTTTAAATAACTTAGGTTTGGCTATAGTGGATTTTAAATTGGGTTTATTTAGGCAACATTTATTGTTATTCTGCCTCTTTAAGTCATATTTACAGACAGTAGGTCGGCCTAATGGCACTTTTGCATCACATTCTAGCAGCTAGTGATGGGGATTCCAGTTCTTTTTAGAGAACCGGCTCTTTTGGCTCGGCTCACTAAAAGCCGCTGGCTCTTTCGGCTCCCAAGCGGCTCTTCAGATTGTTTTGTTGCAAGCAGTTCTAAAGCCCGTCTAAAGCAGGACTGAACCAGGACTGAACCAGGTCTAAACCAGGACTGAAAAAGAACTAAACCAGGACTAAAACAGATCTAAACCATGTGTAAAACAGGACTAAACCAAAACTGACCCAGGACTGAGTTTCGGGACTCGGTCTCTATCTCTCTCCCTCTCTCGAGCCCAAGATTAGTCCTGGTTTATTTATTTTATGCTGAACTACAGCTAAACATGCACTTTTTTCTATCCTATGGACACGCATATTTCTGAAAGTTTCGTTTTCAGTCGCTGCCCGTTGCCAAACTACCACGAGTCTGCACGTGACGTGAAGAAAAAAAAAGTGAGAGAAAGAGAAAACACGGCCCCCAATAAAGATCAGGCTCCCGTTGTTCACTTCAAAGAGCCGGATCTAAGACAAGTTTCGTTCGCGACCGACCCATTTACTAGCTAGTAAAGAAACTACCGCTATTAGCCTTTAGCCATAAATGCTGCGCGCCGCTGTGTTTAATTATATGCGCAAATGTCATAATTTACACCTCTATTCACAGCTCATTTACATATCAATGCAGGTCCAGTAACAAATATAGAATTTTTTACAACAGTCAATTTACAATAGGCGAATAGAAAACAGCCTGTTTAGATGTGGGAGCTACAGCAGCTAACCAATAACCAAAACTTGGTTCAAAGTCGACATATTTCCAACACTCAGCGCTCGCACAGGCTCTTCCTCACATCACAAGTCTACACTAATAAATGTCCTTTTAATCCAGACTCAAACCGATTGTCCGTAAAAAGAATATAATCTCACTGTTTGGATCTGTGTCTGTGAGTGTAAACAAAAGCACGTGAGTGACATGACGTGAATGACGTGTGTTCAGGGACAGTACAGACACACACACAAACAAATGACTCTGCAGATAAATACTGATGTGGAGCCACATATTAGGACATTTATCTGTCTGTTGGATTAAATTGGATTAGATGAACAGAATGTAGAGAGTATCACATGCCCACATGAAATATCGGACCGATAGCCGATATGTCTACAGGTGCCCATATCAGCCAACCGATATATTGGTCAGGCTCTTATATATATATGGCCATTTTCGGTTCGTATTGCGGTTTTCGGTTCGGTACGATTCTTGTTGTCATTTTTTCTTTTTAATCTTTAATCTCCAGAAATATACTTCATCATATGCTATGTTAGCTTCATTATCCACAATTTAGGATTATAGCATTAAAAACGTTATAAAATCATAGTAATGTAATCACACACAAACTGAATTTGACTTTAAGCACTTAAAGTCAACTAGAGCTCTTTGGCAAGGCACATCAGCTCTATGTTCACAGATGCAAAAATGAAGCACACCAAGAAAACAACACTGTCCTACTGTGAAGCACAGAGGAGGCTTGGTTATGTTCTGGGGCTATTTTGCTGCATCTGGCATGGGGTGTCTTGAATCTATGCAAAATACAACGGAATGTCAAGACTATCAAGGTATTTTGGAATGAAATGTGTTGCTTTGTGTCAGAAAGCCTGATTTCAGTCATAGGTCATGGGACTTCCAACAGGACAATGAGCCAAAACACACAGCAAAAACCACACAAGAATGGCTAAGAACAAAACATTGGACTGTTCTGGAGTGTTCTTCTGTGAGCCCAGATCTCAATCCTACTGAACATCTGTGAAAGGAGCTGAAACATGCTGAAGGAACCCTTCAAACCTGAGACAACTAGAACAGTTTACTCATGAGTGGGTCAAAATACCAGTTGACCAGTGCAGAAGTCTGATTGACAGTTACAGAAATAATTTGTTGTGCAACAAAATATTAAGTTAAGGGTACCATCATTTTTGTCCAGGCCAGTTTCATTATTTAGTTTTTTCTAATAATTCTGTTGAACCACAGGTGAAAAACAATGTTTGATTTTTGTTGAACACTTTTCAGTTCATTTTTATTTATTATTGCTTTTATCAGTTTCAAGTTATTTCACTGATTATTGTTGATTTTTCTTTCATTGCCAGAGGGGTACCAACAATTCTGTGCACATCTGTGTGTGTGTGTATATATATATATATATATATATATATATATATATATATATATATATATATATATATATATATGTGATTAATTGCGATTAATCGCATGTTATACGCAAAACCAATTAATGAATTAAAAAGTAGCAGCGTATAGCGCACTTTTATTGGAAACAGCATTTCTTTCACAGGGGAACCCTCAGAGCCTTCAAGGTATTCAGTAAAGGCTCAAGAAAAAAATATTGATAATGAATTTTTTTTTTTTTTACTAATATATTTTTTCTATATTTTTTACTCAGTGAGTAATAAACACTAGTAATAATTTCTAGATCATTGTTATAAACTTGGACTACTATTTCTTGGGAAGCAAAGGGTTAATATAATGGAATAGAAATGGATCACAATTTTTCTTCCAGTGGTATCTGGGTTACCCTGTTGAAAGCTGTAAGATTTAGTCACATTAGTAAAGAAAAAAAAAAGCTACTTTGACTTCCAGTCAAAAACATCAGGTATTATTTGGCTAACAAGCTGCTTTAATATGAGATAATAAGCACTAATTACTGTTCATTCATTTGTAAAAACAATGCTAAGCTAAATAAATGACTCTTTATTGTGACTATGACCATATCTAGGCAAGGCAATTCCAGAAACTCTCCTGTGTATTTGTCCAATTGAGGCAACGGTAAGAGCGTTGTACTTCTCCAAACTTAGAGCTATTAGTTGTTTACAAAGTTTTATATGGGAATCTAAACTTACAAAACATGCTTATTTTAAATGGAATTGTGCATCAATTGTTATTCTGAGTTAATGTTTTCAGTATACAGCTGAGTTTGTGCTTTTCATTTTAACCTTTCAGTTGCATAGTTTCTTTATATTATTAAAGAAAAGCAAAACTAGTTCATTCCATATGGTTTGCAGTGGTCCAAGGTTATTCCTTACTTCCCTTATGCATTCTGAGTATCCTGATTATTTCCTGAGTTTACAAGCATGTTTCACAACTTTCAGAGATGAGAGCTGAGTTTGTTGTGATGTTGTGAAAGTTAGCAACAATTAGCATGCTAACGAGCTCTTCCTGATTATTGGAAAATAAAACCATTTGTAATTAGATGCAAACAGAACACAGTGGACATATTTTTACTCC